CAATACACCCAGACACTCCCACACAAAATCCTCCCCTCTGCAGGTGATACGATTACTGAACACAATGGGTAATCTCATTATCACCGGCAGAGGAATACAGTTTTTACACAATATTTATAACTTCTAAAATATACATGTCACAAACATAAAAAATACATTTTCATAATCAATCCATTCAGGGCAACAACATATTAAAAAATGGCACGAATCAGACCAGGGGTTCAAAAGTTAAGGGAAAGTCCTTTGTGACTAAATGAAGCATGGCTTTCTGGCCCAAACCAGTTTCAGAGTCTTCTATCCTGGAGAGTAATTCAATTATCTCCCAGGATAGACACAAGACTCCATTAAGCACATGGTTGCAAAAGACACAAAACACTTTAAAATACATAAAGTCACATTTACACATAACACACAGACATTTCACATATCCCCAGATAGCTGGGATCTGAGCGCACAAAACTACTGAAGAGCGCTCAGATCCTATTCACACAGTTCAATTGCCATGGAGCCGAAGTCTTTAACTACACAAATGGGCTCCATGGCATAGCTATCTGGGTTAACACATTCTCATAAAGTCTGGTCCATAGTCCAAAGGCAAGAGGCAGGCAAGCAGCCCCCTCCAAGGACACGTGGCGAGGCCGGTTTCGCCACATTTCTCCCCTTTACCATCCAGACTAACAGGGTATCTGACCTCCTGCCGGTCAGTGCCCTGGTTAGTCCAGCAACCCACCCACGAAGTACAAACAGCAATACAGCCCACCCACAATAACTGGTTACTACACCTGGATAAAATAGCAACTTGTCCATGTCCAGGTGCCTCACCACGGCTGTGCGGGGGGCTGGTATACTGCCTTGGTGGGTTGCTGAGTGGGCAGAGACCAGCGGTACTCTGCCCGGGTGCCAGCGCTACCACTGAAGTAGCCTGGTTGGAGCCTGGTTGTGGGAGGGGGAGACCGACTGTCTCCCCTCTGGATACACTGCTCTGTGGCTGGGGGACAGGACCGACCGTCCCTACCCCTGGTGCTGCAAGTGCAGAAACTACAGTCCCATCTGCATAGTTGTGGGGCTTAACATCTCCCCTTGGTGGGTTAGGCTGCCGCTGGAGAGAGGGTGTAACAAGCTCCTCTCTCTGAACTGTAGACTGCCGCTGGGGAGAGAGGGTAACCTGCTCCTCTCCCTGACACTCTCTTTGCTGGTGGAGAGGGGGACCAACTGTCTCCCCTTTCAATATTTTGTCCTGCGGCTGGGGTGCGAGACAGACGGTCTCTGCTTCCTGGGGTACACACTGCCGCTGGGCAGGAAGGACGGCACCTTCAGCTCCCTGGGGTACACACTGCCGCTGGGGAGGAAGGACGGCACCTTCAGCTCCCTGGGGTACAGACTGCCGCTGGGGAGGAAGGATGCCACCTTCTGCTCCCTGGGATACACACTGCCGCTGGGGAGGAAGGACGACCCCTTCGGCTCCCTGGGACTCACACTGCCGCTGGAGATCTGGGCCGACCGCCCAGCATCCCTGTAGGGCCGGTAGAGAGACCGCCGTCCCATCTCCTCCTGCCATCTGTGGGTCTTCCCAGGACCAGTCTGTGAGGTCCCTCAACATTTGCGAGTAAGGACCACCTGCTTCCGCACCTGGCAACTCCGGCTGCTGCTGGGGATCTGGGCCGGTCCCATCTCCACCTGCCTGTTGTGGTTCCTCACAGGACCAGTCTATGAGGACCCCTACTCCGGGTTCCTGCGGCCGCCTCAGGGGGAGACGGCTAGCCTCCTCGGATGCAGCCTCTACTCGGCTGCTGTAACACTCCTTCCGCTGAGCATACTCTCTCTCTTTAGCCAGCCGGAATTCTCGGGCCAGCCTTGTGTTTCGCTCGGCCGTGACCTGGTTCCAGATCACCCGGCGTACCTCCATGGGTAAATCATCCCCATACTGGGCCACTCGCTGCCTCACCTCGGCCATCCAATCATCGCCAGAGCATTCCATACTTGTCTGCTCCAAGTCGCTGGATACCTCTGCTCCCAGGGGCGCTGCATGTGTGCTAGCGTTGCCCTCAATTTGTAACTCCAAACGAACTGTGTCTCTGAGCTGCTTTACCTCGCACTAGGACGCCATCCCACCGCTTGCCACCAATGTAACAGATCGCCTGGCACCCCGACTGGGTACCTCCGTTGAAAGATGCTCCTAGCGCTTCCTGAGGACTCCAAGCACTGCAGCAGACACCACAATCACCGAACCAGAGAAGCGTATGCCTTCTCTCAAGCATGTGAATGCTGTAGACAGTTGAATAGGAACCATACGAATAGGTTTACTCTCCTAGCAGTCAAACTGGGACAGCATACAATAAATCCTTCCCCCAATAATGAGACGACACTTCACTTTGAGGGTTAAGCAGGAACTCCCTGTACTGTCACATACAGTCTCTTTTATTCCCATTCCACAAACATAGTACAGCCCACAGGGCGTTACAAAACAACCAATCAATCCGTACAATACACCCAGACATTCCCACACAAAATCCTCCCCTCTGCAGGTGATATGATTACTGAACACAATGGGTAATCTCATTATCATCGGCAGAGGAATACAGTTTTTACACAATATTTATAACTTCTAAAATATACATGTCACAAACATAAAACATACATTTTCATAATCAATCCATTCAGGGCAACAACATATTAAAAAATGGCACGAATCAGACCAGGGGTTCAAAAGTTAAAGGAAAGTCCTTTGTGACTAAATGAAGCATGGCTTTCTGGCCCAAACCAGTTTCAGAGTCTTCTATCCTGGAGATTGAATTGAGAAGTAATTCAATTATCTCCCAGGACAGACACAAGACTCCATTAAGCACATGGTTGCAAAAAGACATAAAACACTTTAAAATACATAAAGTCACCTTTTACACATAACACACAGACATTTCATATCCCCAGATAGCTGGGATCTGAGCGCACAAAATTACCGAATAGCGCTCAGATCCTATTCACACAGTTCAATTGCCATGGAGCCGAAGTCTTTAACTACACAAATGGGCTCCATGGCATAGCTATCTGGGTTAACACATTCTCATAAAGTCTGGTCCATAGTCCAAAGGCAAGAGGCGGGCAAGCAGCCCCCTCCAAGGACACGTGGCGAGGCCGGTTTCGCCACATACTCCATATAACCTCTCCCTATAACTCCTCCTAACCTCTCTCTATAACTCCTCCTATTACTCCATATAACCTCTCCCTATAACTCCTCCTATTACTCCATATAACCTCTCCCTATAACTCCTCCTATTACTCTATATAACCTCTCTCTATAACTCCTCCTATTACTCCATATAGCCTCTCCCTATAACTCCTCCTATTACTCCATATAACCTCTCCCTATAACTCCTCCTATTACTCCATATAACCTCTCCCTATAACTCCTCCTATTACTCCATATAACCTCTCCCTATAACGCCTCCTATTACTCCATATAACCTCTCACTATAACTCCTCCTATTACTCCATACAACCTCTCCCTATAACTCCTCCTATTACTCCATATAACCTCTCACTATAACTCCTCCTATTACTCCATATAATCTCTCTATAACTCCTCCTATTACTCCATATAACATCTCTCTATAACTCCTCCTATTACTCCATATAACCTCTCCCTATAACTCCTCCTATTACTCCATACAAGTTCTCCCTATAACTCCTCCTATTACTCCATATAACCTCTCACTATAACTCCTCCTATTACTCCATGTAACCTCTCCCTATAACTCCTCCTATTACTCCATATAATCTCTCTATAACTCTATATAACCTCTCCCTATAACTCCTCCTATTACTCTATATAACCTCTCCTTATAACTCCTCCTATTACTCCATATAACCTCTCCCTATAACTCCTCCTATTACTCCATATAACCTCTCCCTATAACTCCTCCTATTACTCCATACAACCTCTCCCTATAACTCCTCCTATTACTCCATATAACCTCTCACTATAACTCCTCCTATTACTCTATATAACCTCTCCTTATAGCTCCTCCTTTTATGCCAAATAACCTCTCCCCATAACTCCTTCTATTGCTCCACATGATCTCTTTCTAAATCACTTACTTATCAGATCATATAATCTCTTCAAATACCTCATTCTAATGTAATTTTGGAACAGTTAAGCCACCAACGCTTAAATTAATTAATTTATGTCTCATATTTATGTTTAATTTCCCATTAAACTATTTACTCTTTGTGTGTAACTGTTTCTATTGCACCACACACCCCATTCCTGTTCTAATGTGAATTTCTACAATCAGGCTAAATCTGTGATCGTTATTATTATATATTACACAAGACAATAGAGAGTTAATATTTCCTAATACTATTTTATAGAGAGTTTTTTAAACTACCATAGTTCCCACTGACCAAACTTTACAGGCTCAAATTTGGATGACCAAAAGTCTAATTTCTTCTGACACTGTGGTAGGTCAGCTTGAAGCTAGAGGTGAAAGTAACGTTTGGAGCTGCACATAATAACTTCAAACAGATGGTGTGAGGCTAATATGCTGACCTGGCCTAGTTGGTGAGTTTAATTCAGGTCTTATGGCGTTAGCAATTCCAACACATTCTAACCATTCAAGTGACATGATTACCCTTCTGGCACTCGAACTGTTAAGTCATTTCCTTTTATTTCGCTTTGTACAGTGTTGGACTTCTAACATTGTTCTTTTTCTGTCCTTCCTAGGTAAAAAAGAAAAAGAAAAGAAAATGACAAATGGATGTGGATTTTAGACAAAAAAATTATTACAAACATAAAATATTATAATCTTAAAATAGATGTCAGTTGAAGGTTTGATTTACATTTTTGTATGAAAACCTACCCAAGTAACATGTCTACTCAATAGCTGGCCTATGGTGGGAGATCTTCTCCTTTTTGTTTCTTCTCTTTAGTGCTTCTATACATGTATTTTGGAGGTAGAGTTAAAATTCAGGTAAGCGATATGGATACAGTCTAACAGAATAAGACGGCAGATAAGAACCATTCAGCCTTACTAGTCTGCCCAATTTTCTAAATACTTTCATTAGTCCCTGGCCTTATCTTATAGTTAGGATAGCCTTATGCCTATCCCACGCATGCTTAAACTCCTTTACTGTGTTAACCTCTACCACTTCAGCTGGAAGGCTATTCCATGCATCCACTACCTTCTCAGTAAAGTAATACTTCCTGATATTATTTTTAAACCTTTGCCCCTCTAATTTAAGACTATGTACTCTTGTTGTGGTAGTTTTTCTTCTTTTAACTATAGTCTCATCCTTTACTGTGTTGATTTCCTTTATGTATTTAAATCAACACAGTAAAGGATGAGACTAAATCCATATCATCCATACAAGGGCCCCATCATCATTGCACTCTTGCTCATGCGGAAGATTTCAAAATTGGAAGTCCCTGGAAGTTGCACAAGACCAAGATTTTCCACGGATCATGGCAAGCAGAGCCGAGAGATAACCTAGATTTTACATTGCACGTGTATTTCATAACAGCAGTCGCTGCAGTGAATCAACGTCAGGACAGATGGAAACTTGGGGTTTTGCCTTTTCTAAAGATGTACATAAAACATACTTATCTTGTGGATGTACTGGAATTTTGTTCAAATTCTAATTCAGCATATGGGTATTATTTATTGAAGATTGCATTTTTTGGACAAACGCAAAAGTAAGAGTTCCATTTTAACCCCTTCCATGTCAACTCTGTTATCTTGACTGAGAGAAGCATGCTGGAGAGACATACCAAATTGTTGCATCTGCATAATATATTGAAGAATAGTAGGTAAGGTGGCAAGTCTGCAGTAAGACTAGGAAATTAAATAAAAAGCAGCAGGGCCCCTTCATGTAATAGGCCATTTCCTATTTTCTGCTATACATACTATATGTGGCAAAAAAATTCTAATTTTATTAAAGACACAGAGGTTCCTATTATGCATGACTCTCTCTTTATTCCCTCAGCAGCAAAGATAGAGAGAAATATAAATATGTCAAAATGAGAAAAAAATTGTATAGTAACACAAACAACCAATCACATAACAGGAAGTGACTATAAAAGGCCTGTGTCTCCCAAGATCCCCCTCTTTCTTTGCTGCTCCCTCAGACCAGATAAGTACTCTCAGGTGTCTTAATGCTGCATGTTGATATTTATATGGTTTTTATTGTGGTTATATATTGTGCACTGCCTGGGGTCTGTCCCGGGCCACCTGGCCTCCTACTGGGCTGGCCGATGCTCCCTACCCATGGGCGGCATCGGGATGTCGTACGAGTTAGCTGTGGCTCCCTTGTTTTGTCCGGGCGGACTGTGTGGATATTAGTGCGTGCGGCCGCCCTCCCCCTCTCTGCTCACTGGCCGGGGCTGGTTTTTCCCATCTCGTGGTGGCCATTTTGGGGGCGGAACTTTGCCGCGTGTTACTTTCCTCTCACCCAGCAACACCTCTTGCTTAGTCCTGTCGCCTCCTGGGTCCTCTGGGCAGACCACCTGACAGGATTACTGTAGTTTTGCATAATTATTACTTTTCTCATCTGGGTTATTAAACCCTTCTCTTTCACTTGCCATTTAGCTGTATTATCCTCTTATATCATGCATGCTAAGGGTGATGGGCCTGAGGGCAGCATGCATGATTTCCCACAAGTGCAGGGTGAGAAAAATATGTCCTCTGAGTAGTTTCAGGCCCTGCTGGACTCCACCATGGCATCTTCTATTCAGAGAGCCTTTTCCTCTGCCATGGGAGTTGTGTCTTTATCGCTGTCCCCGATGTTGGCGCAGGCCTTGTTTCTGCCCTCGGTGGCTGCCCCCGCCCAACTGGGAACTGGGTCCTCTTCTGCCCCTGCCACACCCGGGGCCTCTAAGGCTTCGGTGAAGGCAAAACCCCTCACCTCCCACTCCTCAATGCAGGTACTGCCTGCAATGATGGACTTGCTTGAGGCCGTCAAAGATGGCGCGCTCCCAATGCTCAAAATAGTCCCTGGTCAGGCAAAAATTACCTGATCATGGAAACGGGCTAGGTCCCATGAGGAGGGGTCAGACACCGACCAGAGTGAGGAGGGTAACTCTGAGGCTATGGAGTATGCCTCTTATGACGAGGCTGATACTGAGGAGGATATTTCACCTACCACAATGACCCTTCCTGGGGCCGCCACTACCGCCCAGGGTAGTTGCGCTCAGTCATCGGGGGAAGTGGGGGGGGCATGGTGCTTCTGGATCCTCAGGGATGATCTGCACCACCCCCGGGCATGGTGCTTCTGGATCCAGATGATCTGCACCACCCCCGGTTGGCTGAGTGGGAACCCCCTGAGCATATTGCTCAGTATATAGCACATCGTATGCGCACCCCCCACTCTAAAGATGGGTGCAGTAAACTGCATGCAGAGTGCCCTAGGCCTTCAGTCCCCGGCTCGGCCTGTAAGACCCCTGAGGTGGACCCCCAAATCCCCCCAATTCCTGAACAAGTCAGGCTGGAAGCCCAAGAAAGGTCTTGACT